CTACACTCCAGCCTGGGTGACAGAATGAGACTCTAACAAAAAAGAAAGAAAAATTTATTTACTTGTTTATTTGTTTGTTTGTTTTTTGAGTTGGAGTCTCACTCTTGTCGCCCAGGCTGGAGTGTAGTGGCACACTCACGACTACCACAACCTCGACCTGCTGGGCTTACGTGATCCTTCCACCTCAGCCTTCCAAGTAGCTAGAATTACAGATGCACATACCATGCCCAGATAGTTTTTTTGTGATTTATTGTAGAGACGAGGTCTCACCAAGTTGCCTAGGCTGGTCTCGAACCCCCGGGCTCAGGCAATCCTCTCATCTTGGCCTCCCAAAGTGCTGGGATTACATGCTGAGCCATCGTACCCGGCCAAAAGAAAAATCTCAAAATCACATTTTTGGGGGGCATTGGGAGTTGATGGGTCAGAGAAAAACAAAATTTGCAAGGAGAGTTTCAAAATGGCTGAAGACTCTCAAAGCAAGGGACATCAAGGAATATGCTCTAGGAGGGCATCCACCTAACCCCAAAGATGACCCACCACCAAGTACAAGACCTACCCAAGGCCAATATGTTCTTTGATCCAGTCTGGCCTATGGTAAATTACACATCTAGGAAAGGAAATGCTTTACACTCTCCTATACACATAGAAGAGGAAGGAGAGAAGAAAAAGAGTTAGAAGGAAGCAACCTGGTGATTGTGAACTTATGGCGGCTGAAGGCTGGAGAAAAGTCATTATATGCCAAATGGCTCTTTCCATCTCCTGACCCCTGATTCACCTCTTCTAGCTTAAGCTCACTGTTACAATATACAGCACTTTAAACTATAAATACCTGCGCCCCATCTCATGCCACCAGACACCACCCTGTGTCCTGTGTTTCCAGCAACTTATAAGAATCTCCTGAGGATGGAGGGCAGGAAAAGGCTAAATAGCAGAGTCACAAAACTGCTGGGGTTTTTTTTTGTTGTTGTTTTGTTTTCAGAAAGCAGGATTTTTTTTTTTTTAATTTAATTTATTTTTTTTAATCTTAAGAAAGTTTATTTCAGAAACGATGGCATAGCTGAGGGTGTTTATTTCGTTCCACGTCTTGTTCTGAATTTTCAAAATTATAGGGGATCTGCAAACTTTGTGATTAAAAAGAAAACCCAGAAAATGCGAAAACAAACATGTCCTTTCCCTTCGGTGATTCTGCGCGTCCCTGCAGCACTGTTCTCCAGGGACGTCTGTGTCCCTCCAGGGCACACTGCGGCTGTGGCCTTTGCAGGCCTGAGGTCGCTGGCAGGCTCCCCAGGAGGGGTGGGCGGGCACACGGACCCCTTCCTGGGAGGGTGGAAAGTTGATCCCTGAAGGCACAGCTGGGCTTTCCTTGGGTGCAGGTGGCTTGCACTGCTCTGCCCTCAAATGCAAACTTCTCATGCGCTTTGAAAGGATAGATTCTATTTTTTTTTTTTTTTTTTTTTGAGTTGGAGTCTCACTCTGTCACCCAGACTGGAGTGCAGTGGCCACTCCCGGCCACCGCAGCCTCAACCTGCTGGGCTCCAGCGATCCTTCCGCCTCAGCCTTCCAAGTAGCTGGAATTACAGGCATGCACTACCACGCCCGGCTGATTTTTTGATTTATTGTAGAGATGAGGTCTCGATGCCCAGGCGGGTCTCGAACCCGCGGGCTCAGGTAATCCACTCACCTCAGCCTCCCAAAGGCGCGGGATTACAGGCTGAGCCACCAAGCCCGGCTAGAAAAGCAAGATTTATTAAGAGCATAGAAAACCTCCCACAGTAGGAGGGGACCTGAGAGGGTTGCCCACAAAGCTGTTTTTAAGGTCTGTATAGCTGATGGACCCAAGCTCTGAGAAGCTGCTTGGCGGCTGATTCCCAAAGGAGACAGCTTATGCTCCATCTCACCTTAACTGTAAATGTGTAATTCTAACAGTTATTAAGTCACATAATAGAATTTTTCCCCTTATATTTTTTGGGGGGAGGACAGAAGCAATCAAATTTAAAAGTATCATTACACTCCCTCTTCTGCAAAAATGTGGGTGTGTTTATGGATAGCATTGAAAGTCCATAGAGATCAAATATACTGTCTCCCACACAGACATGCAAGTCTGAAACTAAGGAAGAAGAATATCTGAATTCTTGAATTCAGACTTGGGCACAGTGGCTGGCAGAGGCTATTTGGGGGCTGCTTTGAGGAAAAGGGAGTGGAGAGCTAAAGTGGGTGCCAAGATAAAACTGCCAATCTAACTTTCCTCCCAAATGGCTCTTCCCTTGATAGCACATCTCTGGGTGTGTCAAGGAAGCTAAAAGAAAGCAAGTGAGCCTCTCTTTGTCATCTTATTGTATGCCTCTAAGTATACACTTTTCCAGTTGTGTCCCAGAATGCCCAGAAATAGGCACAATGCAGTTAGCATACTGATTTGGTGGTCAGGGAGCATATGTAACTCCATCACCCAAGCATCATTTACCAAGAGAAAGGCAGTACTGAGAAAGCTGGTATAGCAGAGCTTGCCTGTTGTCTCAGGCAGCTATAGAAGGAAGACTATCAGCTTCAGTTTTGTAATTATACAGAGTTAGACTGAATGGCCAAATTCCAGAACTAGCCAGGCTCTGAATCCCTCGCTTCCTAAGAAATGAAGTCAAGAGGCTAGATCATTTTCAACTTCTGACGATGGTATCATAGAGCAGAGATCAGTATACCCAATCCAGTTGCTGTGTGTTTTTGTAAAAATATTCATTGGAACACAGACACACTCGTTTGTATGTTGTCTATGGTTGCCTTTGCCCTACAATGCCGGAGTAGATGGAAAAAAAGACCATATGGCCCACAAAGCTAAAATTATTTGCTAACGAGTCTTTACAAAAAAGTTTGTTGGCTGGACACAATGGCTCACATCTGTAATCCCAACACTTTGAGAGACGGAGGCAAGAGGATTGCCTGAGCCCATGAGTTTAAGACCAGTCTGGGCAACATGGCGAGACTTTGTCACTACAATGAACCAAAAAATCAGATGGACATGGTGGCGCATGGCTAGTTCCAGCTACTTGGAAGGCTGAAAGCAAGTGATCCTCTCTTTGTCATCTTATTGTATGCCTCTAAGTATACACTTTTCCAGCTGTGTCCCAGAAAGCCTAGAAATAGGCACATGTGGGCGCAGGTCAAGCTGCGGTGGCTATGAGCAGCATACCACTGTACTCCGGCCTGGGCAACAGAGTGAGACTCCAACTAAAAAAACAAAAACAAAAAAACAAAAAAGCCAGGTGCGGTGGCTCACGTCTATAATCCCAGCACTTTGGGAGACCGAGGTGAGAGGATTGCCTGAGCCCATGGGTTCGAGACCAGCCTGGACAATGGCGAGGCCTCATCTCTACAATAAATCAAGAAAAATTAGCTGGGTGTGATGGCACATGCCTGTAGTTCCAGCTACCTGGAAGTCTGAGGTGGAAGGATCACCTGAGCCCAGCAGGCAGAGGCTGCAGTGGCCGTGAGCAGTGTGCCACTGCCCTCTAGCCTGGGCAACAGAGTAAGATTCTGACTCAAAAAAGTAAATAAATAAATAAATAGTTTGTTAACCCCTGTCATAAAGGATTCACGTAAAAGTGCTGAGACACCCTTTCTATTAAAAGGAATCCAGCCGGGCTCGGTGGCTCAGCTTGTAATCCCGCGCCTTTGGGAGGCTGAGGTGAGTGGACTGCCTGAGCCTGCAGGTTCGAGACCCGCCTGGGCAGCGAGACCTCATCTCTACAATAAATAAAAAAAAAATCAGCCGGGAGTGGTAGTGCATGCCTGTAATTCTGGCTACTCGGAAGACTGAGGCAGAAGGATCGCTGGAGCCCAGCAGGTTGAGGCTGCGGTGGCCGGAAGCGGCCGCTGCACTCCAGTCTGGGCGACGGAGTGAGACTCCAACTCAAAAAAAAAAAAAAAATAGCCGGGCTCGGTGGCTCAGCCTGTAATCCCGCGCCTTTGGGAGGCTGCGGTGAGTGGATTGCCTGAGCCCGTGGGTTTGAGACCCGCCTAGGCAGCGAGACCTCATCTCTACAATAAATCAAAAAAATCAGCCGGGCGTGGTAGCGCATGCCTGTAATTCCGGCTACTCGGAAGGCTGAGGCGGAAGATCGCCGGAGCCCAGCAGGCGAGGCTGCGGTGGTCAGAGGCGGCCACTGCACTCCAGTCTGGGGGACAGAGTGAGACTCCAACTAAAAAAATAATAATAAATAAATAAATAAATAAATAAAAGGAATCCTAGCTGCCTCAATGATTTCCTGTTTTTACTCTAAAAGGCAGATCTGTTCCAAATTTAGGGCTGTTTTTACACTTGAAGGTACTATACATGGTAATGTGCCAGGTACAGACTCTTTTCCTTGCACATCGTGTAGTACAGGGATAGAAGGTAGAAATCTAGGAAAATACAAAGTTTTTATAAAACCCCAATTCCAGCCAGTTAAGACAAGAATCTGTCAGGCAGAATCTCAAAGGCTCAATCTTATGGGAAGTATATTAGAAGAAAAATGACCAGAAAGACAGAAAGCTAGCTCTTCACTGCTGTGAGGGCAAAAGCTTCTTTACTTGCTGTGAACTAAAGTCACACTGGCTCAGAAGGCGGACAGCAAAGTCAAAGCGAACTGTCTGTTTCCATGGTAGAGTGTACTCAGAGAACTCAAAACAACAGAAGAGTATAAACAGGTTATTTCAGAGATACAGTAAGTAATCTGGACTGTGAATTTCATTCAATTCCTCACAGGGTTCAAACTGAAACATCTTTTTAAAGGGTGAGATATATATGAATATATATATCTCGTAAAGCTCCTTATAGTTTTGTTGTTCAATGGAAAGCTATCAGAAACAATTAAGATGATATACACTGGGGAACTGCCATTTTTAAGTGGATCTCTCTGATAGGAAAGGTGTCAAATTCAAAGTCAAGTTATCCCAGGTGTGCCTCTAGGATAGCCCAAATGTAGAAACAAAACAATCACACATCCTTCCCTGGGATCCAGATTACTTACATTTCTGAAGTCCAGTGTTCATCTGCGTGTGAGAAAGAAGCTGAAAGGACAGGTCACGTGGCCCTGGTAGACAGGCTAGCATGGCAGACCGGCATCAACACAACATGGGGCAGTGGCTCACACTGTAATGAACAAAAAGCAATGTCATGAACACAAGATAACTCATTCAAAGAAGATACCAGGGATACTGGATATGAGTAGCTGAGACCCAAGTTTAGATAGATAAGCAATTTAATTAGCAGCATGTTGGTTGAAAATATATTTACATCTTCATTTGTAGCAACAATTTGTTCCCAACTATCACTATGGCTAAAATGATATTGCAGTCAGCACAGATGTGTGGGTGGGAGAAATAAAATTGGAAAATACCTATTCATACCAATAATTGGAAAGCACAAGTGCATTTGTAAGGGTGCTGTGTTCCCGAAGAGATCTGCCCCTCACAGGGACTAGCTTACTCCATTTACAGTTCTGGCTGGAAGCCAGTCAAATGTTTTCAGAGGCAGCACAGACTATTACTTGCAAAGGCACCCAAAGTCCAACTTGTGATCCAGTAATATAAACTCACTTTTTTTTTTTTTTTTTTTGAGTCAGAGTCTCACTCTGTCACCCAGACTGGAATGCAATGGCACATTCAAAGCCACCTCAACCTCGACCTGCTGGGTTCAGGTGATTTTTCCACCTCAGCCTTCCAAGTAGTTGGAACCACAGGTGCATGCCACCATGCCCGGCTAATTTTTTTATTTATTTTAGAGGCAAGGTCTTGCCACTGCCTGGACTGGTCTCAAATCTGTGGGCTCAGACAATCCTCTTACCTCCACCTTCCCAAAGTGCTGGGATTACAGGTGTGAGCCACTGGTTGGGCATGAACTCTTTTAAAAGGAAGGAGGCTGGGCGCAGTGGCTCACACATGTAATCTCAGCACTTTGAGAGGTGGAGGCAAGAGGATTACCTGAGTCCATGGGTTAGAGACAAGCCTGGGAAACTTGGAGAGACCCTGTCTCTACAATAAATCAAAAAATTAGGCTGGGCACGGTGGCTCATGCCTATAATCCCAGCACTTTGGGAGGCAGAGGTAAGAGGATTGCCTGAGCCCACAGGTTCAAGACCCACCCAGGCAACTTGGTAAGATCTCATCTCTACAATAAATTGAAAATTAGCTGGGCATGGTAGCACACGCCTATTGTTCTGGCTACTTGGAAGGCTGAGGTGGAAGGATCGCTAGAGCCCAGCAAGTCAACGCTGGGGTGGCCATGAGTGTGCCACTGCACTCCAACCCGGGCAACAGAGTGAGACTCCAATTCAAAATAAATAAACAAATAATAAAAATTTAAAAGGACAGAAGAGTACAGGTGGCCCAGTTAACTGTTAAAGCAAATTCTGTTTGTACATTTTTGGGGATTCATCATTCTTTTTTTTTTTGAGTTGGAGTCTCATTCTGTCACCCAGGCTGGAATGCAGTGGCATGCTCACGGCCACTGCAGCCTTGACCTGCTAGGCTCAGACGATCCTTCTGCCTCAGCCTTCCAAAGAAGTTGGAACCACAGTCATGTGCCACCACACCCAGGTAATTTTTTGATTTATTGTAGAAATGATGTCTTGCCATGTTACCCAGGCTGGTCGCGAACTGATGGGTTCAGGCAATTCTCTTCCCTCTGCCTCCCAAAGTACTGGGATTTTATAGGCGTGAGCTACTGTGCCAGCTGTTCACCGTTCTTATTGCTGATCACACACCGCTACCAGAGTAAAGCAAGGAGGCTGCCAGTAACCCTCTTTGTGCAGGCAATCCTGATGTCAAGATGGCATGGGTTTCATTAGTGATGTTTACCAACAATGTATGCACAGCCCAAGCAAGCAGATATCGATGTGCCCTTCTATAGCAAAGGAAGTTCAACCAATAATGCAAACTCCTTGCGTACCAGCAACAAATTTTTCTCAAATAAGAATAATGTACAGACGGGTGTGGTAGCGCGCGCCTGTAGTTCCAGCTACTGGGAAGGCTGAGGCGGAAAGATCGCCGGAGCCCAGCAGGTCGAGGCTGCGGTGGCTGGGAGCGGCCACTGCACTCCAGTCTGGGCGATAGAGTGAGACTCTAACTCAAAAAAAAAAAAAAAAAAAGAATAATGTAGTGAAACATATGAATTTCCTTCCCGTACTCCAAAACCCAGAAATCAAGGTGGCAAATGATGACTTTATATCACAACAAAAAAAGGAGTGGGGGGAAAAGCACAAATGTTACACAAAGACTACAAAAAACTCTTTATTTCCCTTAGAGGGCTCTCTCAGGTATGTGAAGCTACCTTGTCATGATGAGTATTGGAGAGCTTGCAAGACCAGGTAACTGAAAAGATACTTTGTAAAAAAGGCTGCTCAAACTGTCTAAGATAGCAACTGCAGAAAGAACAGCTGTCCAAGAGTTCTGGCACAGCTTCAGTCTTTTTAGGTCTCTGGTGGGTGGGGTAACAGAATAAACAGTGTGCTGACTGCAGTGCCACAAGAAATAAAGTCTTCTGTTGGGATCAAGTGACTGAAGTACTGCTTACATTCCTTCCCTTATGAATGCTGATCTCCATATAATAACCTCTCCTTTGTGGTCCTAATATAGTTTACAGCAAACTCCAAGGAAAGGAAGCGTAATACTGTGAAATGGGCTGTATAATGTTTTCTCAGTCGGGGCTCCCAACATATCTTAAAGATAGGTAATAAACTTCACTCGTCAACTCATCATCTCTAGCCTGGATTACTATTAACCTTCTAAATGGTCTCTCAGTTTCACCTTTGCTCTTATTTTCCTACCTATTCTCCACACAACAGCCAGCGTTATTTTTTTTAATCTACAGTCATGGCTGCTCAAATATCTTCAATGACTTTCCATCTTACTTAGAATAAAATACAAATACCTAACATGGACTCCAAGGTCCTCCGTGATGTATTACTATTATTACCTCTCTGACTTCATCTTCTAACCTACCCTTCCCCTCCTATTGACTTATTTCTAGTCACAGTGGTCTACTTGCAGCTCCTTCAATGAGCCAAATACACATCCACCTCAGGGCCTTGTACTTACCATTCCTTCCGCTTCAGATGTTCTTGCCCCAGTTATCTGCTTGTCTTTCTAGCTCTCTCATTTCATTCAGATTTCTGCTTGAATGCCACTTTCTTAGGAAAGGGCTTCTCTGATCTGTCTAAAATAGAACCCTCATTTTTCTGACTTTTTTTTTTGAGTTGGAGTCTCACTCTGTCACCCGGGCTGGAGTGCAGTGACACGCTCCCAGTCACCACAGCCTCGACCTGCTGGGCTCAGGCAATCCTTCTGCCTTAGCCTTCCAAGTAGCTGGAACTACAGGCGCACACCACCATACCCAGCTTTTTTTTTTTTTTTTAATTGGAGTCTCACTCTGTCGCTCAGGCTGGAGTGCAGTGGCACGCTTGTGGCAACTGCAGCCTCAACCTGCTGGAGTCAGATGATCCTTCCGTCTCAATCTTCCAAGTAGCTGGAACTACAGGCACATGCCACCACACCCAGCTAACTTTTTTGATTTATTATAGAGATGAGGTCTCGCCAAGTTGTCTAGATTGGTCTTGAACCAGGGGCTCAGGTAATCCTCTCACCTCAGTCTCCTAAAGTGCTAGGTCACTGTGCCCAGCCTGATTTTTTGATATATTGTAGAGACAGGGTCTTGCCAAGCTGCCTGGGTTGGTCTTGAAACAGGGACTCAGGTAATCGTCTTGCCTCTGCCTCCCGAAGTGCTGAAATCACATGAGTGAGCCACCACGCCTGGCTTCTCTTTTTACCACCATCTTTACTATCTGTTTTATGTCTATCTTTCCCCACCTTACTAGGACATCAATTCCTTGAGAACAGACACTTAATTCACTTAATTCATTTAATTCATTTGTTCATCATTCTATCTAGAAAAGCATACAACAATAGGCTCTCCATAAATGACTGTTGATTGTATGCATGACAGATCATTATTAATTTCCTGAAGCTAAGCTGGAGTGGTGGTTCACGCCTATAATCCCAGCACTTTGGGAGGCTGAGGTGAGAGGATTGTTTGAGCCTGCAGGTTTGAGACCAGCCTGGACAACTTGGCGAGACCTTATCTCCACAATAAATCAAAAAATTAGCTGGGTGTGGTGGCACGTGCTGGTAGTTGCAGCTACTTGGAAGGTTGAGGCGGAAGGATTGATTGCCTGAGCCCAGCAGGTCAAGGCTATGGTGGCCGGGGGAGTGTGCCACTGCTCTCCAGCCTGGGTGAAACAGTGAGACTCCAACTCACCAAAAAAACAAAACAAAACAAAAAACAAAACTACTCATCAACAAGGGTACCTGCATAATCAACATTTATATACCTAACCCTGAATTGTACCCCACATCCTTTTTTTTTTTTTTTTGAGTTGGAGTCTCACTCGGTCACCCAGACTGGAGTGCAGTGGCTGTTCCCAGCCAGGGCAGCCTTGACCTACTGGGCTCTGGCAATCCTTCCGCCTCAGCCTTCCAGGTAGCCGGAATTACAGGCGTGCACTACCACATCCGGCTGATGTTTAATTTTTATTGTAGAGATGAGGTCTCACCGAGTTGCCCAGGCGGGTCTCGAACCCGCGGGTTCAGGCAATTCACTCACCTCAGCCTCCCAAAGGCACGGGATTACAGGCTGAGCCACCGAGTCCGGCTCAGATGAACTTTTCACTTCAGCCTCCTGAGTAAGCTGGGACTAGAGGATTGTGCCACCATGCTCAAATAGTTTTAAATAAGGAAAAAATTAACTAATAAGCTCAAAACCTCAAATCTTAAGAACTATTCACATACTGTGAAGATGAGAATACAAAGAACACATTCACTCAGTTGTCTTGTAGATACTACTTTTTCCCTGTATTTTTTAGAAAGAACCAATGTGTATGCATGCTTCTTCAAAGAGAAGTCCATGAATCCAGATGATCAACATAATCTCTGATATACCTATTAAATTCTGAGACCTGCAACCAAGAGACAGTAGGGGTGTGAATCCTAGGAGGTGACTTTTAACATACTGACCTTCAAACCACACCTTTGTATTTTAGCAGAAAGAACAGGAGAGAATTAAACCAGCTAAACTGTGGCAAAAAAAGACATTAATGG